CGTTGATATTTCGTCGTATTGGAAATTACTGCCTCTCTTAGAAATAATACTCTGTAGTGAATATCTCTTGTGAGGACGTTTGAAGATTCGAACGGCAGTAAAATGTGACTTCCTTCACTGTTCTTATTGTTAAGGTGGGACTTTTAAAGCAGTACAGAAATCGAGAAGGTAGAGAGCAGTTCAGGTGTACTTTGTTGTGCGAAAAACGTAATACTCCGCTTCATTTCTGAGTCGGTGTGAAGAAGTTTTTTCTAGTGTTATCGAAGTCACAGTGATATAACTTGTAGAATTGCCTTTCTACGTTCGAACTGAGCTCTGTTTGCGTACTTAGTTTTTGGAAGACTGCGGGCCTTCTAACACCGTTGATTTCATCAAATTATTGCTGCTTTTTATTCAGCATCCTATTCTAAATTTTATAGCGTTGGTTGAGAAATTTGCGGGAATGTGACATTCTGGCTAATTTTTCTAATTATTATTTTTGTCAGTTTTTTTTGAAAAATTACGTTTTCTTTCTGCGATGAATTTTTTTTGTCTTTTACGTATAAATTCCGCCGAGTGTGTTTTTGACGTACGTAGTATATTTTAGTATGCCCACTAGACTAATTATTTTGAAAACGTACTATCTGTAAGGCAGAGAGGTCGCTTTTTTGCTCGATTAGCTGATTTTTTTCATTTAATATTAGACTTAGATCAAGTATTTGTGAAGAGTTCACTATTGTGCTTGCCTGGCTGCGTGCTGCTTGCTGAATTGTTTGCATTTTTCGATGCTGTGCGGAACGAGGTAGAAATTAAGGGAAGAAGAAATTAGCCCTCAAATGGCTTTCCAGCAAGTAACCCAGCAAGTTCGTTAGATGCCAGTAAAATTCAGCAACTAGAAAGTACTGGAGAATTGACGGGCAGACTGACGCCAAGACAACCCCACAACTCTTAGAATAAGTCAGTCGAAAACGCATTATTCTAGAATTAAGCTAGCATTTTTCTCAGCAATCAGCAGAAGAAATCACCGTATCTCCTTTGGCATACACAAAGAAAGATTAGAAGTGGGCTCTTCTAAGTCCATAATGTAACTTCACGCTTTTCCCCAGATTTCAGTAGAAAAATCGGCTGTTTTTGTGTCGAGAATGTAAAAGATAATGAAAGCTTATTCTCCTTCTTGAATTGTTTTTTTGTTTTTATTGTTTTTTTTAGTTTTTAATATTATTTATTCTTTCACCATTACTTCTCAGTGCTTTTCTGTTTGATAGAGAATTGCAGTTCTTGAGTCCCTCATTTAAAACTTTTTTCTTCTTCATTCTGTTTGGGCACATTGTGTTTTTTTACACATTTTTGAACTCTTGTTTACGTAGATTTTAAAAAAAAAAAGCAGCAGATATTCCCAAGAACCAAGCAAAATTATATCAGTAATTGCGTTAAAAGGTATGTGTTAATACTGAAAGTTGTGTCATACTTCTGCTAAAATCTCAGCGCAAAATGGCCAAAATGCAAATAATTTGAAGAACAAAGAGGTGAAACATTAAAAAAGAGCGAGTTACTAATAACACATCATTTAAGCGCACAATACAGAAGTTTAGCACACTTCTACGGAGGCCGGCGGGATAACCCTTGGGTACCTGCGCACAACACAGTGGCACTGAGCCAAAGTTTCTCCAGGACGAGTCACGTTCATTAGCAAAAAAGTTCTCACACCAAATTAGAGATGAACCCGCCTATACAACTTCGCAACCTAAGCGCGTCGGGCCTAGAAGAGTGGCTTTTTCTAGCTCTGGAAGGATGCCAATTTGTGGTAGGTGAGGTCAGGAGACTTATCTTTCCATGATCAAGGCAACAATTCGGCAGGATACAGGAGAGGTTTAAAGCCTTGAGCAGGAAAATGATTGAGTAAAATCGAAATATATAAATATGTTTAAAGTTTAAAAGTCTAAAAAGTTGAATAACTGTAGCGGAAAAACTCATTTGCATATACATACATATATACATAGGTGTATGCAAATGAGTTTTTCCGCTGCAGTTATTCAACTTTTTCAAACTTTTAGGTTTTCATCAGAATGACTGAGAGGCAAATTTAAAGTTTCCCTAAAAAAATACTTTGATTTATCTCTCGCAGTCTCTTCGGTTTTGTGTGGTGTTAAGGCATCGTTTTCGACTCTTGTTCGGCAATAGTTTGTTGGTTTCGGTGTTGCACGTCGCCACATAGGTGTTGTTGTAGGAATGGGTTGGGTTTGGTACGTTGCTTTTGCTGTTCACTGTGATGAAGTTTTTGCTGGAGCATTTGCTACGATTTGCCAGAGAATCTTTCGTTTTTATTGACTGTGAAATAGTATCTGCGCAGGGTATTTGATGTTGATTGTTGCGATTGTCACCTAATTGGAGAGGGCGAGACGGCAGATACGCTCGTTTTTGTTTGGAGTGTAGTTTTTTCTTGTTATATTGAGGCATGTTAGAGCTGGAGTGAACCGTAGGTTAAAAAGAGAGGATGGATTTTTTATTATAGTTTCTGCTTGTTGCAGCTCACAATTTTTTGGAGTTTTAAGGCGTTGCCAAGCCATCGCTTTATTTGGCAGCTGCATCCGTCTTTTCTTTGACTTCGTGTTATTTCAGTTAGGTGAACTGCGGGAAGGGTGGGTGATCTTTTCTATTGGCTCTCATTTTTTCCTCTACATTTTTTAGAAAACTATTGTTCAAATATTAATATAGAGAAGTGAATAAGAAAAGAAGAAGCAGATTTGTGAGGGAGGAAAACGCAGGCTTTATATTTTATCGTCTAAATTATTCTAGTTTTAATGCAACCAAAAAAAGCATCACTCGCTCATTGGGTGGTTTCTGCCGTTCAGTCGTCGTCCTTCTCTCACTGGTAAGCTGTGTCTCGTTGCAGGTCTGTACGTCTGCTACTCTGCTCTTTTTTGAGGCCTTCGATGGAATATGACGTGTTGTGAGGAGTTCTCTTGTTCTGCAATTTCCTTCCCAGCCGTCAAAATGTTTTGTGCTACATTCCCCAAGAATTTTGGCAGTTTTAAGGCGCATTTTTACTGGCTAGCGACTGCCGATTTTGTTCAGCATGGTTTCTGACTCTTACGCTCAAGTACAGCAGAAAACTTGCTGTGCTTGTTTGCTTACTTATAAACAGCTTATGCTTGAAACCTAGCGAGATTCGTGATTTACATCAGTAGTTGTTGTTTAGGTAGTTGAGGAAGCCTATGCAGAATATTATCGACATTTGTCAGGCCAACAAAGTTCTAGACAGGTGCCATGGTGATCAACTGAGTGGTAGTTTTGACTTATTCCTGACTATTCTTTTTTTTCTGAAAGATTTAGTGTATGATCATTCTTTTTGATTCTGGGTTTGGTTCTCTCAAAATTTAATCGATTGAATTTCAAGTGCATTATATGTAGTCCTTATTCGTTTTTTTTCTTCCGAGGTACTATATTCCAGATCTGTTCCTTATGCGTTCCTCACTGTTTTGTAGCGTGGGCTCTTACGTGTCTTATTTGTTCTA